CGAGGTGGGGGAGGGTTAGGTACGTCTTTTGGGGGTTCCTCTTCGGACTTCCCCTGATAATATGGGTCCTCTTGGATCCCATATCTTTGCGTCCTACGCATGTCCCATGTACGATAATCACGGTCATCCTCTGAAAGAAGAGCCTTTTTGTCCCAGCGTGCACCTTCATTACGTGGTTTGTCAGTTTGAAAATACTGCCTTTTCTCGCCTGTTTTAGGAGGAGGTGACAACGCACTCCGTCCTTCCATTTCTAGGCAGTGGGGTTTAACCTTTATGCCAGGAAACACTTCTATGGGCGTCTTAGAACATGCCTCGAACACATTCACTGCACACTGTCGCACGTTCGGTGGAGGAGACCTGTTCAGGTCTGTTCCTACCGCCCGAGATGAGGGTGGATTAAGAGCAGGAGGTGCAACAACGTCTTTCTGAGGTGTTTGTGGGTGACCTGGACTCTGTCCTTGTTCGTCTCTGAGTCCCAGACCAGCTCGCCCCACGTCAGAAATCTTGTTTGTTGCTGCGGCCAGTTCCTCCTCACAAGCCTTCAGGCGTTCCTGTGATGTCCGACATTCACGTTGTGAACGCACAACTTCTTCCAGTAATAACTGTTTATGCACTTCGCGTCTGTGCAGATCTTTCTTAAGCACATCTGTAGCATCCCTGGCTTCAGATAGTGATGCCTCAAGTAATTGTATTTTGCTGTTCAGCGAATCAATTTCTGCACGTGCATCTTGCTGTGATTGAAACATCTGTTCAGAATGTTTTTTTGTGAGGACTTCGTGTTCACTTTTAAATTGAAGGAAGTGTTCTTCAATTTTCTGAACCACCTCTTTTTCACTGTATAACCTTAGTGCAAGGTCATCAGCTCTCCTAACAACTGCATAGAATGATTCTTTCAGCAAAATTGCAATTCTAGCCAGCTTTTCATAACTTGACATTGTAATTTCTGTAGAGGTCACAACTTCTGCAACCTCCATCAGATCGTCCAACAACTCTTTTGGGTTCATGCAGTCCGCCCGTTTGCCATATGGATGTAAGGAAGCTGTCAGCAGCGCTAACGCATCTTCCAAACAGTCCTTCATCCCATAAGGATCAAAGTCTTTTTCCCTGACACCTGTCATGGTTATTCACCGTTCAGCACTTTTTCTGGATAAAACAATTGCCAGCTTCAGATATTTTTACAGGTAAATAATTGTATTCAAATGTCAATGAGTTTCACACTATTTTAGCTTTGGGTTTACACAAAAGTACCGTTATAAGTCAACTTATTCAAATGTGAGCACCTGTCTCAGGTTTTACCCCAATTCATGAATATTTAAGTAAATGCTTCTCTGCAGTGTTACTTGTATGTGCTTACTTTTCAACAGATACTAGATTACCAAGCGTCTCAGTGTCTTCCACTCTAAAGCACTGAATTTTTATAAACCTGCAATTTCTCTTTTTAGTCTCACAGCACATCAGTTTAAAAATGTTTTTAAACCG